TTTTAAGAAGGCAATTTCAATTGATATTTTTAAGGAGGTAATAATTGTAGCTTATCAGTTTCTGACTATTAGCTTCTTGGAGAACTAAGATTACCTAGTCCTATCAATAAATCAAGAGGCCCTTTATTTACTATTGTCCTTACATTTTTCTCTCAACTAGTTAGGAGTTGAGTTTAAAGAGACTGACTTTGATCTTTGTGCCTCCATGTCTTGGCCTAATTACTGACACAGAATAGGAGTTAATTGACAATTCGATGAATAACAGATAAATTTAAAAGATGAAATCATACTCTAAGTCTAGTAACTGGATTATAGAAACATACCAGAAATTTACATCAGAAATTGTTGCTTCATTCAAAGTAGTCAGTTTGAACGAGAACACATACCCGTATGATGTGATCATTGCTTAAAACATTTTGGGAATGCAAATTTTGAAATTCATTCTAAGCCCATGGCATAGTTTCCTTTTTGAGCATCCTCAAAACTAGAAACTTTTCATCCTTGGAGGGAATTATTTTATTTTTTTACAATGACCATAATCATTTAGGGGCAGCTGTGCCCAAAATAGTCAGTCATACTAAGTAAATATGTGTGTGTGTGTGTGTGTGTGTGTATGTGTATATATATATATATATATATTTTTTTTTTTTTTTGGTTTGCACTTCCCTAGTGTTAAACAAATAAAGGAACAGAACCTCAAAGTTTTAGTCTGTTTTGAAAAATTTAAAACATTTGCAAAACAAGATTTCCAGCAAAATGGTAGATACTTTTTAGCGATATAGAAATTCAGTTTTACACACACACACACACACACACACACACACACACGAGCGCACGCGCGCACGACACTACATTATTTGGTAACAAATCCAATATACGTTTACATTTCTAGATTTTTTAATTTGATAAATAAGTGAGCTAAGGGAAATGAAATATATGAAAGGTCTGTGGCTTATCTTTCTTATCCTAGCCCACCCTCCCTTACATGAGTCTTCTTCCTCCAAGTGGACTAAGAATCAAAATTTCACATTTCTCTGAGACATTAAATAATCTATTATCCAAGTAAATTGAGAAAAATATAATCAAAGAACAGTGTGCTGTACTTAAGACTTTACACTTCTGGAACATTCATAAAAGTGAGTGGGCCCTTCCTTCAGCCTCCAGCCATGTTTTTGAACATGAAAGAATTTTTGCCTTTAGAGAAGATAGTTAGTAGACATTTTTTAAAAAAGTTGTTTCCAAAAATCCAATGATTCATTAAAATACTTTTGTTTCCTTAGGAAAAAAGTTTCCACATATGCACAGTAATCATTTGGCATTTTGTAGGCTTAAGCCTTGGGGAGTTAGTGGTATTTGGCTCCTGACATGGAAGCCTTTCTCTTGTTAGACAAATCCTCTTGCCTGAACATTCCTGTGAGAGTTTGTTTCTGTTGTGCTGATGGTGGGCTGTGAGGTGGTTGGCTATGGTTTGCACTGCTGAGGCTGACTCCTTGACACTGTTCATTAGCTTTTCAACTGTTAACTCCTTCATTGTTTCACCTGAGTTGACGATAATTTCACCTGAGGAAATATCATTATGCTGTGGTGAAGGATGAGTCAATCAATGCACATTAAAGAAATCAACTCTTAGTCTTTGAAGTCCCTTTCAATAACTTCTTTATTTTGTTAATAATTCTTCAGGATTTCCTAAGAAAAGCACAACTACTTCTAAGGGATTTGGATAATTTTAGTGTGTGATTGTATACTTTGGGAAGATATGAACTTGATTGCCTTTAAACCTTGATGTCTAGGTGCTAATGATTAGAGGCTTATTCTCAAAGTTCAGAATTTTCTGTATTATTCTCAGGAGAGAATATCACTCTAGGGAGGCTTTATTCCAAATGAATATGGGAATACAGAATATGGCAAAAGTGCCCATGAATAGTATATTTAGTTTTAAAAAAAGGCCAAGCATGATTTACAGTTAAGAAAGTCGTTTAGCCTTAAGAGTCAATGGAGAAAAATACTAGGATAGTGTGACTATCAGCATATGTATCAACTGCTATTTACATGTTGCTTTTGTGCTTTCTTTACATTGACACTTCATATTTTCAAAATGTATGCAAATTCAGTGTTAGTTTTTCAGGAGCAATCAGGTCATTTGGGCACTTTAGAATTTTTATTTTTATCAGAGATGTTGAATGTGAGATCTAAATACATTTATGAAAGCCTGTACAAATATGTTTATCTGTGTGTATTATAAATATTTAATATAATTAAATATTTGTGAAAATTAATCCAGCTATATCACGTGCAAGAAGGGTTGTTAGGTAATCCTATGCCCTGCCTGCTGGTAACTTGGATAGCCCATTTCTTTGAGTTTCCAAGAAAATGTATATAATTACTTAGAGATAAGCCTTACCAAAGTGGGAGAGAAAGAAAAAAATATATTGTATAGTATTTCCTAAAAATATTAAATTAGAAGTGTCAACATGGGTAATTTCATAGAGTCACAAGTATTCACATATAAAGAACGAATATTTTAGCATATAGTTACATAAATATAGATATGTATATGTGTATAAAAGGCTGATATTAATATCTACTACTGATAACGAAATATAAAGATTGTAGAAAATAAGTGCATTCCATAACAGAAGATACATTTTCAGGGAATAGATTAAAAAGGTTTTGATACAATGGCAAATTTTGCTCATTTCATTCCATACATTGAAAAGTATATAATTTTAAATCAGTTTATTAGTATCTAATCCACAATTGGTTTGAAAAGAATGACATGAAATTGTGTAGTATTTAGAAAATTATATAATCTTAAATAAATTAAAAATCTATAGATTAAATTCAAATGCCATCAGTTAATGAAATTAAGATGTTTTTATTATTGCTACTATTTGAATGTGGTTTTCAAATCTTTTACACATATACAACTTTAATTAATTTTATATCTTCTAAGAATTAATTGCTAATTGGGATAAAATAAACCATGTCTTTCTTTGGATAATTAACACAGCAGGACTCTTTAAAGAATACAAGTTAATATTAAACAAATGAAACAATTAGAGGCAAAGTCACACTTTCACATTCTGATGTTGAGCTGAATGTTAACAGAAAGAAGTCAGTTTCATAGATAATGATGAAGATTTGTGGACAGTTAAGATACTGTGTCTATCGTTCTGATTTTAGTATACATTCTAACATGCCTGAGTACTCAGCAGTGTGGGTGAAAATGATAAAATATTCAGTAAATGCCTCAACACATGCACACAAAGAAATATTGCTGTGATTTGATGAATAATTCCCAATATTTACTTAATTATAGGAAATATAGGCACTCAGTCATTACAGTCACTTATTTTTATCAGCAAGGCATATTCAGCCATAAGGACTGGATTATTTATTCCTCGACAAGTCATAATCATATTGACACACATGTTAAAGAAAAAGCAATACATATGCTTAAAAATAATAGCCCCTAAATAATAACCAGCAGTCGTAACATGCCTGAACATTTCAGGATAGACCTAATAGAACAAGAATATAGTTACTGTTGAGGGGAAGGGTGAATTTTATTGAACGACACATTTATAATTTGGGACTATAGATTTGGGCGAAGTTAGCAATTCCATTAGCAATATGAGTCTGGGCTTTGTGTTTCGAGAACATTTATAAAACTATGTGTTTATTTAGGATCCTAGAATTATTATTTTTTTCTTTCCACATTCATTTTCTAGAATACATCCCCCCCAGCCCCACCAGAATTAGAAAAATGAGAAAGGATGAGGTTTTTCCAGGTATACAGATGATAAAAATCTCACTTCACTATTAGCATGAATTTTATGATCACTAATTAACATTCTTATATAAAATTCAAATAGAAATTGCTGATTGTAAAAATAACACGCAATGAAAAGTGTCTGGAAATATTGCAATGCAGGAATGAGAAAATGACAGCTACAAACTTACAGCCCAGAAAGACAAAAAAACATAACATCAATTGTTGATGCACACTAGATACCCTTCCGCTCCTTTTTTTCTCACAATCACACACTTGTGCCTCTGCATATTTTTATGTGCTTCTGGCTCCAACACTTACATACCCTAAGACTTTTGGCAAGTCACTCCACTTCTCGGTCACTTACTTTGCTCATTCTAAAAACATGGATAGTAGTAGCAGCCATGATGTAGAATTCTAGAGCTTAAAGAAGGCAGTAGGCATGAAGTTTTACAAACATGTTTGGCATATATTTATTATTATTACAGCCATGTTCACAATGTAAAATTAGTCGAAAATTATCAAACCTTTGTTACTTGTATTTGGATGTCACACTTACATTGTTCGTATTTTACATTATTTGCAGTGAACCATAATAATACCTTTTCCCCTCCTCTATGATAATGGTGGTAAGTGGAACATCTGTAAAATATGTTCCATGCAAAATGAATCTTCACACAGACTTATTTTGTCATTTTAGTTTGATTTTTGAGAAATGAGTTTGGCACATCTGCCAAGTCCTTTCATAAGATGCTACATTCCTATTTTTATTTTAGCTTATTTCATTTGTGAGAAGCTCTTTTCTTCTCTACTCCTCCCCCAGACAGTCAAGCCTCCTATTTCCATCCCGACTCTAACAGTTCTGTACCTTAATCTTTAAAATAGAAGATGGAAAGAGAAATTGGGAGGGATTTATCACTTAAACAATAAAAGCACGGTCCTTTTGGTATACCTAGATTTTTAAAGAACAAACCTCTTACACACACTGTAAATATACTCTCAGAATGTTTTTTTTTTCTTTTACCAAATTAAAAATAACAGACTTTTTTTTAGGGTAGGAAGGAGAAAACAGGCTTGGGGAGGGGAAAGACGCAGTAAAGCAGATGAAGAATCATTTTGCAAGCATGTGTTAATATTTAGATTCTCTTTTTTTTAAGTGAAACGTTAACTAGTTGATGCTTTCTTACAAACTGGTCTTTGATACTGTGTTTTGTTTATTCCATCCCAGAAGAAGTTAGCGGTATACAGCAAGATGCAGGACTCTCTGGAAGTCACCCTTCCCAGCAAACAAGAGGAGGAGGAGGATGAGGAGGAGGAGGAGGAGGAGGAGGAGAAAGACCAGCCTGCCGAGATGGAGTACCTTAACTCTCGCTGTGTCCTTTTCACTTATTTCCAGGGAGACATTGGGTCAGTAGTGGATGAACACTTCTCAAGAGCTTTGGGCCAAGCCAGCACCCTCCATCCAGAATCTGCCATTTCAAAAAGCAAGATGGGGCTAACCCCCCTATGGCGAGGTAAGAATTCCAAAGCAGATGCTCTCCAGGGCACTGTCTCTGTTTCGCAACTGCCTGTACCAGGTTCCAGCTGGAGACGTGCCCCTGGGGGACGGATATCCACTTGCTCTTTAATTTTTAAGGACAGCAAGGAATTTCTTTCAGACAAACAGCTGGATCGGTTTTGTCACATGTGGAATGCAGGGTTGGAAAGGATGCAGTCACACCCCTTAAATTCCTCATGGAAAGTAGTGATGCAACTGGCCCGAGTTTATAGTGGCAGGATCAAGCTGCGCAGCACCATTCCTGAAGCCCCGATGGCCCAATTTGGATCTCTAAGTAATAGGCGTGCCGGGATCAGCTTTGAAAAATTAGCTCTTGTTCATTCCACTAGGTGCTACGTGGTGACATAGCAGAGTTCTGAGTCTGACCCAGGAATACGGACTTGAAGGCCTCATGTGTTCTCTTGATAGCTGTTGCCGTCCTGCCTTGTCGTGGTATTAACTCTGTAGTGTCCAACCCAGGCAGGATCGACTGTCTCTACGTGGGTTAGACGACTCTTTTCACCTCGGGAAAGCACAGCAGTTGATTTGGCGTTCTCCTCTGTATGTCTCTGCATACAGGTCACAGTGGAGTGTTCGAATCTGTTGTTTGGCTCACACAAAATCATTGGGTGCCACCTTAAGGAATAGTTAATTGCAAGGTTCTAATGAACAGAAAACGTAATTTCACTGATTGTTTTCCAGAAATGTGTAGTAGATGTTTCTTATGAACTTGCCTGGTTACAAGAGGTATCCAGTAAAACTGTTCTCAAAGTGTGGTTTTCAGGTGTCACATGGAAGCTTGTTGGAAATGCAAGTTCTTAGGCCCAACCTACTTACCCCAGACTTTACTGAATGAGAAACTCAAGGGTAGAGTAACCGGCATTTAACCAGCCTCCCAGTGATAAGGTGCTGGCTCAAGCGCTGTGACAATGCAGACGGCAGGCTCCCCGATCTCAGACCTGCTGACTCAGAGGCACCAGATGAAGGCTCTGGGAACCACAGTTTCTCAGGTGTCCCATGGGATGACTGGTCACTTGTGGCCGGCCAGCTGTAGAAGGGGCAGATGACCAGTGGGCCATGCCCTCTCAGCATCAGAGAGCAATTTTGCTCTAGCAGTGGAGAGACCCTCGCTGCGCAGTTATTGGACGTGACCTGTAGCTACAATGCTCATTGTTCTTACTTTCCTTCTTTACCCCTTCCTCCCTCCTCCCCCCCTTCTTCCTCCCCTCCCTCCTTTCTTTCTTTTCTTTTTTTAGTAAATATGAGCAACACTAGGATAAGCTGTGGCTAAAAAGGAGAAGGTGGAATACAAACTCAACTGACTGAGTTCTTTGGGAGAGGAGAACTGAGAAGCTTACCGCTTATTTGATTGATAAATATTATGAACTTCCCAAAAGACCTGGAAACTTTGCCTTTAGAAGCCTCAGATGCTTTTGCAACCAACCAGTGTCCTGTTTGATGGCACATGGTGAACACTTTCAATAAGTGTAGAGGGTAAAATAGGAAAACTTCACTGAATTAGCTGGTGCATAGTTTGATATATAAATTCTTAGCAGGATAATTTTCCCTAGGAGAGTAATACATGCCCATTTCTTTCAGCAAAGTGACATATACAACTTAGTAGTCATTTAACCTGGAATAAAGAAACAAAGATTCAAAATTATGCCTATATCTCAGAGTGGTTGTCTAAGGTATAGCCACGAGAGTTTTCAGTGAGGTGTTGTATATTTACCAAAAAAAGCATATAATTCAATCTTTTCCATAATTTCCATGACTGAATAGAGAATACCTTGAGGTACACAACAAACTTCAGTGCAGAAAGGGGAAGTTAACAATAAAGTTTCAGAAATTATTTTTATAATTTTCTTGGCATAATTTAGGCTGGGCCTTGAAATCTATGCTGTCTTGTTAATTGGCATAGAAGACAAATATTTATTAAACTCTTATTGTACGCTATGTCGTGCTTTAGGCAGTGGGGCTATGTCAGCTAATAGGAGTTCAAAAGAGGGAAATGAAAAGCAATAGGTAGAGACCAGATTATTTAGAGATCTGTGTGCCAGTTTAATCTCTCAGAGTTGTCCTGGGAAATACAGCCTGCTCTTCTTTTTCCATCTTCCTTGCCCCCTAAGACTACATATATCAAGTATAGTTATACCACTTCTCCTAACACTTAGGATGATGCAGTTCTATCTATGGAAAAGCCAGAACAAATATGAATTGAACAATTACATTGCTTAATTAAGTGAACCAAGTATGCATGTCCTCCGGATTTGAAAACCACAATGTCCTTCACAGATAGTGTTTGCAAAAAAGTTATTTGTAACCCTTGAAATGCAGTTTTCATATTTATAGAATAAGGTGATTGAACAAAGTGATGTTGGAATTTTTCTTTAAAAAACTCAGTAATTTCAAATGTATTTTTTTAGGTTTCAATTTGCAAACTAAACTTTGCATAGTTATTTTTAGTTGTGAATTAGTGAGTTTTACAAAACTTACAAACTTACAAAATTTGCTCAGGATTCATAGGCGATTCATAAAATATAAAGATGAATTAAATAACATCTTAAAGAGATGTTATTGATTGAGGTTGAGATTCCCAGATCTTACTGAGAGTTTAGTATCAATTGCCGAAACTACCATATTTGGAAAAATTCAACTTTTGGGTTTATGTCAAGTCTGGACCTTATTACTTTCTGTTTACAATGTAATCTTGGGCTAATTATGTTAAATCTCTGAACTCAACTTCAACTGTAATAAGTGTTTATTAAGGTCCATATCCTAGGGTTACTATAAAGAATAATTTATAATGCATACGAATAATTTAGAATAGCGCTTGGTACAAGTTGCTAAATGCAGGTCAGATGCCTTTTCTTCATTCCCTGGGTGTGTTTCCATTCAGTTAGCACAAGGACATAGAAGACCAACCATTAGTCTTTATTCAGAAACAATGTTTTCTGGAAATTTGTATAGCTTGGCACAAAATAGTTATCATGGACATAGCAGGTATTCAACGCGATTGACAATGTTGATGAGCATGACAATAATACTTTATACAGGAGCCACTGACCAGCTATTAAATTAAAGGGTCTAATTTATAGCATGAAGTTTTTGCAGTGTTAGACAAGTGCTATAGTGCTGCAAAGGAATTTCAAACTGACTTATGTTTGATGGCAGAATATATTTCCATAGTAAATCTTTAGACATAGGACAGAGCATCAGCTAATAGTGGAATAATGCTCATATTTGAGTGTGTGCCTTGACAGTTAAGAAAATCCTCTTTAGGCAGCTGCTATAGAAACAATTGACACAGCAGCATATCAATTACCTCTCATCCTTTCTACATTTTAACAGGGATTAAAAAAGGCTTCTCAGTTATGGAAACCTAATGAATCTGTTTGTCCCATGTATCAGTATTTATATTACTATGGGTTGATTTCATTGTAGAAATATTATTAAAGTGTGTGAGAGAGAGTGAAAGGGGAATAGTTAAGTCATAGCAAAGTCCATCACTGATTTGAAAACCATACTGCATGATAAACTTAGCGACATTTTTCTGTTTTGTAGTTGCAAAGTAAATATTTGTTGCTTGATTGTTCTATGTAGTGTCTGCTTGTAGCAGATCACACAGAAAAGACCTCTCAAAAGGAGCACTAAAAGTAGACAGCAAAGGGGAGAAGGGAACGGGGAGCTGTGCGAGGCTGCAGCAAGAGTTGAGCTACATCTTCTGGGGGATTAGTGTGGCCCTGTGGGAAGTTTGCAGCCTGACTACACTCCACCATCCAGAGTGGACACCAACTCTTGAGATTCTCATTTTAGAGTCATAAAGCCTATTTTGAGTAATGCTAGGGCAAACACACACACACACACACACAAGAAAAAAAAAAACTAGGATTTTTTTGGTCATAATGGTAATGCCTAATTCCTGAATGACAATGGAACACCATATCATCATTTCACCTCTGCCCTGACAATGGGGATTAGCTAAGAGAATTATTTAGATTGGAAATAGAATAAATTCCACCCCCACTTGATATTAATAAAAAGGTAGATGTTATCTTTTCACACTGGCATTTTAAAATAATGTCTATTTTAAGATCATATTTCGAGAGATTTTTACAAGCACTTGAAATAGAAGTTCTACAGCCCTTCATTGCCCTATTCGTCCATTCAATATAGTTTTCATTTTTTAAAGTAGCATAAATTATTTGTCCTGTTTTTTTTTTTTTTCTCAGAGACATTTAGAGTGAATCTAAAAAGTATCCCAGTTACCATGAAATGTGTTAAACTCCTCTGTGCTTCAGTCATATTTCTGATACAAATCACAAAGTGACACTAATGGGCACGATTTGGGTGGCTTGTATTGAACAAGTGTATTGATTCTATTCTTTTTTTTTATCTAGAAATAAATATCTGTATATGTAATCTTTTTTTAACCCCAGTGCAAACTGGTCCAAAGTATATTTAGATTTCTGGTAGGTGTTAGCCTGTCAATGCTAACATCATTTAACTGTGGAGTCCCACCGGGCCCAAAGTCTCCACGGAGTGTTAATATCATACAGTTGTGAATTTCCTCCTCTAACCCAAAAGTAATATAGCATGGAAACAGCCCATGCACATTTTTTTATAATTCCTTTTCATCCAACAAATATGGCTGTGATTAAGTACTGGTAAGCAAAGAGTCATGTAATGAAAAAAATTTACATACATATGAAATAAGCACACTGATTCTCAAGCATGAAACACAGCATATCATCTGTTTCTTTGTATCAAGATTTTTTTTAATAATCAAGATACCAAATAGTGGTTTTGAAGTGTAGACTGTCCATAAACATATTTTTCATTCAATATTGTTTCATTTACTTGTAAAATGCAACATTGTTTTGGAAAAGAGCTGCATAGATCTCTGCAAACTTTATATTAATCTCAGAAGACATTCTGACGGGGAAAATATTAAGTTACTTCTAATTTTATTTTTCCCTGGGGCATTTTAAAGCTTTGTTCAATCTTTATGGAGTGCATTTTTAAAAATAGATTTCCACTTTCAATGATCATGTGTTCACTAATCACAATACAATACTTCATAAATAGTATAATACTTTTGGTAAGGAATTTGTTCATTATTCACAATTGTCATGCATATCCAGACTACTTAAGTGTGTGTGTGTGTGTGTGTGTAGACATACAGATATATGTATATGTATATAAAAGATCGGGTCCATGTAGAAACCACTTAGTGCACTGTGTTAAACTCCTCTGTGCTTCAGAGTCGTATAAACAAATGGAAAAAATAAAAAGGGATGCATCTGAGAAATGGCAAATGACATTTTAATGAGGGGTTTTAATAAGGGAATTCTCTCTGGCACACACCTGTGAGCTGAGTTTGGGGTTTTTTGTACCAGGATTCTGGTCCCACCAGGAGGTGGAAATTGTGAACAGTGTGAGAGGTTTGGTACCGGAAACTGGATCTGTGAGTCCAAAGTGACAGATTCGTGGTGGCAAAGCTGCAGCATGTCGCTGAAAGGAATCTCTACAAACTCTTTTTCAGGTTTTAAACTCTAAACATTGGCAGCTTTTACTGTAGATGTTACAACCAGAGTCTGCAAATAACCCTCATTTAGTCAACTAAAATTTCCTTCTCACAGTTTACTAATTTTCCTTGTCATTAGCAGCCACTTTTCATTGTCAGATGAAGATAAGTCTTAAATAAAGCTAATTGTCCAATGGCAAAATGTTTGAATGAAAGTGCCTTATCTGATGGTGATTGTGACAGTCATTCTATCAAAACGTTTCAGGACTGTTGGAGACATGAAGAGCAGTGTGCATGTCTATCTTTTGTCTCTAAAACACAATTTTCTGGATTCCCCCAAGGGTTTTGAGATCCAAAGTGTTTCTTTTGGAGAGAGTCTAGAGCTTATTGTTCCTAGCACAATGGGGCGGCTGCTGGAGAGAGAATGGAGTTGCTGGTCAGCAAGTGCCACAGCTTTTAGGAAAGCAAGAGAAACAAAAAGTTTGAGTACCACAATGATGTCCTAATTATATTAGTCAAATTACTTATGTGTGGGGTGGTTCAAGTTAAATAAGCTTTCCACACTCCCCTCCCCCCCGCACCCCCCTCTTCCGCCACAAGACCCCCCCACAAGAAAACCACCCTAGCAGTTTCTGAAGCAAGATCATGGATATGTCAGACTTCTGAACACTTTTACTTCAGAGTAAATCCTCAGCTCTCCTTCATTTAGTGGAAAGGTAGAGTTAGGTCCTTTTGAGTGGAACCCACTGTAATCTCTTCTAACACATGCATTACTAATGTGTTTAGTAGTCTTATCTTCATTTATAGGTAGAAGTAATTAAACTTTCTTGGGTCATAGAATGGCAAAATGTCTTATGAAGTCATAAGACATTTGGAATTAAATGAGCACACATGCCTCATATTTTAGTGAGAAACAGAAAGGAACTGAAGCCATAGAGATTTAGACAGATCAATTTGGAGTCACAAAATTAAGATGAGTAAGAGCCAGGGGCTAGGTCTCTGGCTGAATTCTCTAGACTCCCACTTCAGTGCTCTCTCACACCACACTGAGGACAATTTGATATAGTTGAAGGTATTGATCTTTCAGACAGATCTGAGTATGTCACTCCCTAGATGAAAATCCATTTAGAACTGTGGTCATCTATGGTCACAGGGACATAGGGTGCATAGCTGGTAAAGCCACACCCTACTGGGTTGTTCTTTGATTGTAATCTCTCTCTCTCTCTTTTTTTTTACCATCTTACAAGAATGTACTCTCCTGTGTGTGTGTGTGTGATCGTGTGTGTGTGTGTATGATTTTGGACCTTTTTTCACATATTTTTTCATTTGACTAAAATACTATTTTACTTGCTCACAAGACTAGTCTTACTCAACCTTTTGATTTATTTATTATTTTAGACTGTTTCATGCCCTGTCTATGCTTCCCCTTACATGAAATTTGTCTGTTTATTTATCCAGACTCCTAGCTTGTGATTGAAAGTGACATCTGTCTGTCCAACCCTGACTTCCTGTTTTGAACATGGTCACCTATGTTTTGATGATTAAGTGGAAAATATAACTGAAACATATTCAGGAAGGATTTGTCCTCTTATTTACCTCTTAAGTATTATTCTTTGATGATATTTGTTCTTCAAACACTTCTTGAAACCCGTGAGCCTTACTCAAATCTACCACTCACAATTTCCACAAAATCTCGACCAAGTTTTGGCTGTTTAGGTTACAGTTGTGCCCTCTAGTGGCTCACTTGTGCAGAATGTACCAAGTAGGCTACCTGTCCTGGAGGCCCAGCCTACTCTTCAGCCAGAAAGTCTTGGCTTTGTCCCTGAAACAGTTTCCATGTCTCAAACAGGGGGTAAAAGCAGTTACCTGGGATTGGAGTAAGATCATTCATGCAACACCTTGGTTTAGAGTTGTGTGCTTGGTTACAGTCACTTTATGTTAACTTATTCTCAGTCCAGAGATGAGATTTCTACCAAAAAAAAAAATAAATAAATAAAATAAAAAATCCCTTGGAATACACTCTTTCTGATGAAAAATGAGTGTGGTAAATATAGTGATGCTCTTTTTATTTGTCACTTTCAATGTTCAAATGTTCATCTTGAATGAAAATTGTACTTCCATGAAACAAAAAAATGTTAAACATCATTCCTACCTACTAGAACATGTGTGTATCTGTCTGTGTGTGTGTGTGTGTTTTACCTGCAATATGCATACTATAGCACAAGCTTTCTTTACCTCTGAAGCAGGTACACAACCTCTGCTGAGATCTGATAACACCCAAGGGGAATAAAGCTTTTCAATCTCAGACTTGCACATGTCAGCATAGACTGCGTTTAAGCAAACAGAGGGAGGACTCATTCAGACTCTGAACCCCACACACTGACTTTGCAGGAGAGCTGGGCTTACCTGGTATCAGTTCACCTTTGTGTGAGGAGAAAAAAGTGCACTCTCATTAACCTGCTAAAGATACTGAACAAGTAAAGGCAAGTCTATCACAGAACTGAATCTTATGTAAATAATTTGTTTTTCTGTCTTCTCAGACAGCTCAGCTCTCTCAAGCCAGCGGAATAGTTTTCCAACTTCCTTTTGGACCAGCTCTTACCAGCCCCCACCTGCACCCTGTTTGGGGGGAATTCATCCTGATTTCCAGGTCACTGCACCCCCAGGCACCTTTCCTGCCGCTGATCCCAGCCCCTGGCCAGGACACGGCCTGCACCAGACTGGCCCAGCCCCTCCCCCTCCTGTATCCGAGTCCTGGCACTATCCCTTGGCATCTCAGGTGAGCCCATCCTACAGCCACATGCATGATGTGTACCTGCGGCACCATCACCCCCACGCCCACATGCACCACCGCCACCACCACCATCACCACCACCACCGCCCTTCCGCTGGCTCTGCCCTGGATGCGTCCTACGGGCCCCTGCTGATGCCATCAGTGCGCACGGCCCGGATTCCTGCTCCCCAGTGTGACATCACAAAGACAGATCCCACTACAGTCACCACTGCTACCTCAGCGTGGGCCGGAGCCTTTCACGGAACTGTGGATATAGTGCCAAGTGTGGGGTTTGATACAGGTGAGCTGGGGGGTTCCTACTTTCAGTAAAATAGAAGAAAAGTCAAGACATAAATGTTTAAAAAAATAGAGAATTTTGAAATGCATTTTCCCTTATTTTGTAAAGTCAAGCTTTGTCAACATGTTTAGAGAACCTAACCATTTTGCAACAATACCTGCATTCCTGCAGAAACTGGTATAACTAGCTCATGAAGTACAGCCTGACAATGATCTTGGGACTTTTTTGTGCTAGTAATCTATTCCATGTCTTGTGCTAGCAATCTATTCTACACGTAAGTTATGTGGAGTATCTTATGTTTACCAAAAATAAGCATATTATTTAAATCGCCTCTGTTCCTGTACTGTATACCATGTGTTATATCAAGTCGAATTCAGAAGTAGGAGGTTTCCATAATTTTTCTTTCTCTGCCTGGTGTTAGGGCTTACTGATTTATACAACAAACTGTCTTCTGGAATATGGTCTAAGGTCAACTTTTTTGGAGTTAGGAAATGTACTTAAAAACAATGGATTTCCTTTTCCTCCCCTTTTCTTTCCCTTCCTTGTATTTCCTAATATCAGGCTCAATTTAGATTCTGGGGGCATCAAATTCTAAGGAAAATCTAGATTTCAGACAGTATTCCTGTAGGTGACTTTATTGTCATCCAATTTAGAGCCCCACTGCTGTGAAAAGTGACTTGCCTCTGAGAGAATAATCTGGGGCATGACAAGGAAATATGACCTCCCTGTACAGAGATGACCCCCAACGGAGAATAGAAGGGGCAGAATTAAACATGCTTATTTTCTTCCCCTAAATTCAGTCGTTGTAACAAATATCTCTCACTCTTTATGGAGAGTTAGAGAAGAATTTTCCCAAGAATGAGATTCTAAAACATAGATTTCATAATAGAAAATATATGGAATAGTGTACTTGGGCAATGTCTTTGTGGAATGAGAGAACTGTGTAGGAAAATTCTCACCTGGAACTGGGGTGGGTCTTTCTTTTTAAAGATGTATTTATTTGTGCATACAGAACTGGGGTACAGGCCAGAGAGAGGCTTAGGGGTGGCAAGAGGCTTCACCAGAGACAGAGTGGAAAGCAGAACAGATGGACGAAGTACACTGCTGAGTAGAGCAACTGTGGGTCAGGAGAAATCTGTCACATCATGTCACCGCGTCATATGGTCACCTCCGGGGCAGGCGGGAATCGAACTCATGCGGAAGTGGCTTTAGCATTTTAGTGTTGTGCTTTAACCAGCTGTGCCACCAGGGAGGGCCAGGGTGGCTCTTTCTAATTGCCTGTCTTAAGTTGAGGCAATGGGTTCTGATATTCCTGCATTGAGAAGTTATTGGGTGAATTCACCTCTGGTAAAAGGACATGGCATTAGGCAATGTGACTTTGTCCACCCGAATACACTGCAGAGATTCAGCAAAGGAGTAGTAACTATATGATAATGTTTCATGGAATTTTTTTTTATCCAGGGATGCAACTATAGCTCAACACAGGCAAATCAATAAATATACAAAATCATCAACAAAAAAGATAAAAATCATATGGCCACCTCAGTTTATATAAAAAGAATGATAAGACTCAGCATCCATTTATGATAAAACTCCCTCAGTAAAATGGGTATGGAAGGAGCACATCTCAGCATAATAAAGGCAGATTACCAGTCAATATTATACTAAATGTGAAAACTGAAAGCTTTTTTTCTAAGATCAGGAACAAGATAAATTGTCTACTCTCATCACTCATTTTCAACATAGTATTAGAAGTTCTGGCCAGAGCAATGAGAGAAGAAAAGGAAATAAAATGTATATGAGTTAGAAAGGAAAGAATAAAACTCTTTGCAGATGACAAAATAATCTACAAGAGATTTCTGTATGATAGACCCAACCTAGGAAGGTGGGATAGTTGAAAGAATGAGAAATGTTTCTCGATATATGATCTATCAACATTTACCTGACCATGAATACAAAAGAGAGGCTCCCCTTAGGACTTTGCATCAATGCCAAGTGGCTACAGACCTAAGAGAGGAACATCCTGCATTAAGATTTGCATGAAACTTCTGAAAGTCTAGGTAATCAGCTATTTTCACATTCCTTTAGGAGACAAATTAATTCAACCATTTTGATGTGAATTTGTCAAAGGATATAGCATTTTCACCAGGAGAATGGTTTAATATTTGTAGGCTACTTTTATTTTAAAGACATTAAAAAAGAAAGGACATCTTTTGAATTTAAGGAAATTTAAGGTTGAATATTATATACCACTTCGTGACCGAAGGAAGTTTTATTAGACTATTATGAATGGTATAACCCAACATTTTCCTGTAAAGAGTGAGACAATATATTTTATGCTTTATGGGCTTGTATTGCCCCTATTGCTAATACTCAGATCTGCTCTTGTGTGTAAGCATCAGTTGCCACTGCTTAAAGAAATGCGGACGGATTTGTACCAATAAAAGTTCATCAAAGGACACACCTTTTAATTTTATATAGTTATTTCTCTGATGTGATATTTCACTCTTCCTTTTTTATTCTCCCCATTTGCAACCATTCAAAAATATAGAACCCATTTGTCCCCTCTTGGCTCAGGGGTTATATATGAACAGATGCTCTACTGATTTGGTCTGTGGGCTGTATTTTTCTCACCTCTACTACAGTCCTATAGGAATAATTTTTATCCTTGAACACACACACACGTACATGCATATTCCCTCACTGAAAATATTCATATATATATATCCTGAACCTTTAATGATCATCACTACCAGAAACAACGGAGATTTGAAGCCAGATAGCATAGTTTTACAAATCCATATCTGTCACTTATTAGATGCAGGACTTTGATATATGTTTATGGGTATAGTAATAAAATAGTATTCTGAGATTTGGTAGATGTCTCATTGGGTTTTTTTGAGGCTTCAGTGAGTTAATGAAGCAAAACATTCACAAAGGGGCCCTATACATTTTAGAACTATATATATTCTAGCATGAAGGAAGGTAGAAAGATGCTCACTATTTTTAGCTTTCAAAATTTAGTATTGATCTGTATTTCACATATTGTGCACTTCACCATTTTAAAATATGTTCACAAGATTGTGCAAGTTTCCCCATAGTCAAATCTCCGAAAATTTTTATCACCTGAACAAGTTGCCCCATATATCTTAGGAGTCATTTCGTATTCCCTCCTTCCCATATGCCTGGCAACCTCTAACTTACTTTGTGTTGGATTTCCTATTTTGGACATTTTTATCTATCTATCTATCTATCTATCTATCTATCTATCTATCTATCTATCTATCTATCTATCTATCTATCTATCTATCTATGCATACAGAACTGAGGCATGGGCCAGAGGTGCAGGGTTGGCAAGAATATTCACCAGAGGCAGAGTGGGGAGCAGAACAGGCAGACTGATGAATTATACTGCTGAGGGGAGCAGTGGGAGAGACAGGAGAGGTCTGCTGTCACCAGGTCACCTCCCTGGCTAGGGATTAAATTCATGTTGAAGCGGCTGCAGCTAGCTTCCTAGTGCTGTGCTTTAATCTATTGCGCCACCAGGGAAGGCCCAGACATTTTATTTAAGTGGAGTCATACAATATATGTCCTTGTGTACATGCCTCATTTTACTGAATATTGTTTTGAAACATTTATATAGCATGTATCAGATCTTTATTTCTTTTAAGGGTAGCTACTATTCTACTTAGGGGTATATGATAGTTCTTAATAAATTCATTCATTGATTTGTGCCTACCTTCTGGCTAACATGAATGCTGCTGCTGTGAATATTCTTATACAAGTTTTAATGGGCATGTTTGTTTGAGTTGTCTTGGGCAGATAGTTAAGGGAAGAATAGTGGAGTTGAGAAATTCACTTTTTATATTCTATGCTGAATTTTTTT